CAGAATTATATAGCAACGGTGGATGCTGCGTGAGAGTGGTTCATTTTTATTATTATTTCTTGTTATCTTTTGTTATTCTGTCCAATTACACCCAGCAGACAGATAAAAAATGATATTCTGGTTCAAAACACGTTGCATAGTCTGTGAAGTACATTTTTCCGATTATAAACAAAATTGCCAATCACGCGCTAAAGCCAGTTGCAGTAGAAGTAAATTTAGTAAGGTATATTTCACATTATGTATACAAATAATTAGGAAAGGAAATATCTTGGCAAAACAGAATGAAATACTAAGAAGATGTACAGTATTTTTGTATAGCATGTAGAATAAGAAGAGTATTTTTTCAGAAAAAAATTATAGAAAACAGAAGCGAGGCGGAAAAACCTCTCACAGTTGTAGACATTAGAGGAGCAGTAAACAAATGAATCAATAATAGGTTCAGCATAAGATCCAACCTAAGAAACAGCCTCCGAGAATTATTCGTTTGCTAACGATAGTTATATGAGTAATCAAGCAGCTACCGAATACAGCCTACAAAATTTTATCAAACACAATTTATGAAAGGTTAAGACCATGTCGAAAAAATAGCCAGCATATACCAACGTGGCTTCTGGAGGAAAATCAAAGAATACAACGTTCGACGTTTGAAGGGATACAATTTAAAATACCTACAAAACACTGATGCAAAAGTTTTTATTAGATGATGTCAATATCTAAACTAAAAAGTAAAATCTTTAATTTTATTGACATAAACAGGAACTAAGTGAACAACAAGACAATGTTGAAGGAAAATCTAACAGAAGCAATTAACACAGAGAAAATATGGAAAAGTATTAAATTTATTTGAAATTAGCTGAACCGGTAGTTGGACAGAGGAAGAAAAAAGAAAACAGGAATGGTTCGATACAGAATGCGAAATCAACATGAAACAGAAAAACCAAGCACTAAATAAATGAATGTCAACAAAAGACGAACACCATTGAAACGATTACAAAGAAAAAAACAAGTAGCGGATCAATGTTGCAAAAAACAAACAACGAGCTGCGCTTGGAAAAATTGCTAAAGAACCTAGAAGAGAATAATAAAGATAGCACTAGACTCTTTGGATACGGAAAAGCTAAACAAAGAAAATGCAGATTAGTGGTTAAAATTGACAACGGATTATGGGAAAACCGTTTCCTGTAACTATATAGATGCAGAAAAAGCCCCGAAGAGAAAGATTGCGCAATGGAAAACAATAAAAACAATAAAACTTAATATTATGAATATTTACACATCATTAAAAAAATGAAACAGAAAAAACAACTGGTCCAGATTAAATTCTAGACGAGTTAATAAAAACGTAGTGGAAAAATTAACAAAAGGCATCTACAACCTAATAGTTAGAATATGGGAAGCAAAAGAAATGCTCGGGGATTGGAAAGAAATTACAAATTATACCAATATTTAAGAAAGGAGAAGTAAAAAATTGTAACATCTATAAAAGAATATATCTACCAAATACAACATACAAAGTTCTAATAGCCCTCATCAAAACTCAATTCACAGAGAAAAAAATTGGAGACTACCATCAAGGATTCAGGAAAAGCAGATGCAATCAATATAATTACACAAACCATCGATAAATTACTTCTACACACTTCCTTCGTAGACTTTAGACAAGACTTTACTGTATTGGAAGAAATAAATTATTTAATCAAAAAACAAAAATAATTGTAGATAGATCCTGGGCTAAAGTAACAACATAAGACAGTAGCAAAAACTCAATAACAATAGAAACAGGAATGCGACAAGTCGATTTCCTATCAACCACACTATTCAACATAGCAGTAGAGGGAACAGTCAAAGCCAGCGGAATTAAAGTAACTATAAACAACTCCTTAACACAAGTAGTAACATTTGCAGCTGACATGGTTGTTATGAGACGAAACAAGAAAGGAAGAAAAAAGGCATTAACAATTCTGGTAAATGAAGGAAGGAAAAAAGATATATAGAAGAGAAGATAACACGGTGACGGTGTCCTCAGTCACAGGGGCCATCATCGGATGAGGATGTAGTCCGTCATGTGCCTGAGGGTAGAAGAATATATTTGTACTGCCTTCGAACGGACAGAGGGTCTAAATTATCTTATGTCATCCGTAAACCCTAGTAACCTTAAACATCAACTTAAACATACCAAAAGAAAACAACCTCTTTATCGAAATAAGACTAATCATATTAAAATATATTATTTGTGACACAGTATTTGTTAAAGAAAGAGTTAAATTATTTCACCGTTTACAAAACGAAATGTTTGGGTATTTTATTTTCAAATATTAGTAGGAAATCCTTATAAACAAACATTTCCCGTAAATAGAACTTTCCGATTTCTTCCGTTTCCGAATAAAATTCCAAAAAAAAGTTAAACAGTATTTACGGAAATATTTGTCTCGAATGGTAGACATTTTCTCGTAAATTCGATAAAAGAAAATGAGCTAATTTATCAAGCAGGGGAAAAATCGCACCGACTATAACTCAGGCTTGCAGTAAATCAGCGGAAAACTCCGGAACTTCATCGTCCGAGTCATAAATTTGAAAAGAGTAGTAAAAAAAGAAGCCATCATGGTCGGTTTATAGTTAAATCTTGTTTCAGACAAGACCATCGTTAAAACGTTCATGGGAAGAGTCATTTTATTGTTAATTACTAAATATATAGGAGGTTATTTCCGGGCAGTTAGGAGTTCGTTCACAGTTTAGACATAAATACCAAACTGATTACTTGTTTCGCAACAAATCAACTAAGAGTTTATGTAAACAGCCAAAGTTTTAAACTTCATGAGAATAACATATTAGTATAAAACAACGAACTAAATCATAAAGGATGGTAATGCTCTTTAAGGATAAACTACAAGAATACGTGTATGTGTATTTTTCTATGCTCTTCTTTTTTGTTATTAAATGTTCATTCTGTTCGTTGAGTTATTTTGAAATTGGATAAGATGTAGAGCGAACAAATAGTTATAGTAAAAGATAGTAGTTTAGTTCACTCCTCAACGGTACAATGGTTAGTAGATTACAAGTACACATACTTTTTATAGCAGAAGTACTTCTTGCCTAAGTAATATTTTTTGTCAATTCTTTGGCTTCTTCCATTGACTCAATATTTCAATTGCTCCAACCACTATGTATATTCCAAATATGTCACTTTCATAGTATAATCGAGCATACGATTTGTACAACTATTCTTAAATGGCGTCATAACCTGGAATATGACAAACAGAAGCGATTGGAACTCGTATGTATATGGCTTTAATCAGATAAATATTTATTATTCTATTATATTTCCATAAATGTTTCCTTTATTTCTTAAATGATCTAATTTGCTATGTTTTAAATATTTTTTTTTATTCTGCAATATATACTTCTGTAACACTTGACCCATTCTGTAAAGTTATACCTATCTGATGCACAGACGGATCTAAAACTGCAGAATGACGAGGTGCAGAAATATTCAGTAGAGGCAGACATTTAAATATTTCTATTCCTCTAGCAGAATACTTCTATTCCACTAGAAATACATATAATATATATATATATATATATATATATATATATATATATATATATATATATATATATATATATATATAGCCAAGCAGCCATAGAGGATCTTACAAGACGTAGGAGTTAATGTGGTAATACCGAGAGAAACTGACGAAAGATAACAGTGTTATATTGGTATGGGTTCGAGGTCTCCGGAAATACATGACAACGAACGAGCTGATAAACTGGCTAGAACCGCATCAGTTACAAAATACTTCGGTCCAGAACCGGATGTGGCAGTACCCCAAAGCATGACCACAACCGAAAAAAGCTCGGTCATAAATTGGATGGAGATGTATAAATAGAGCTGAAGTACTGCAGAAATCAACTCAGTCATTACAAACTTCCTTACTAGACACACGACAGTCAAGGAAAACCTGCATATAATGGGACTATATTATGGGTATTTAACTCTTTAGACTCTACACTAAAGGACATAAAACAATCTTGCATGACTGCTGGTCATTGGACCAAATGTTGCAAACTCTTTTCGGAGACTACTATCCAAAAGCATATAGTACCCATAATCTATACCTCTGTAAGTTAATTCAGAGTTCCAGAATCATGGATTGGTTATCATTTATCATAAGTAAATGTAAAATGTATGATAAGCCAACTGGCTGAAGATATTCTCAAGTTAAAGATTATTTCTTGTAATCAAATGAACTTTGTAAGCTGTGAGCTACAGTAAGTATATTTTTCTTACTTTTGTATCTCGACACTATTCACTTTAGTAGGAGTTATTTAACTCTTAAATTTGTTTGTCAACCGATTATTGTGAATAAAGATATTTTTTATTAGAAACTATTTTATTTTATAGCGTAATGAATTACATTTATTTTATATATAAAAACGAAAATATATAAAACGAAAAGATCTAATTGGCTTAATAAACTGACTATAATTCAAGATTAGCAAAGTTATTCGCTGAAATTAGAACATGCATTGGTCAAATCAGAAAAATCTATTAAACTAAGGTAACACAGTGAGAATTGTCAGTCCTTGTAAACGAAATATTAATGGCAAAACATTATATTACTCAACTGCATAGTATGTTTTTGTAATGGCTTAAATTGTTAAAAGTAGTTACTCTTTTACTCTCAACCATAAAAATCTATTTACATCCTCAAGGAAAAAGATCGAATTTCCAAGAATTATTTGAATGTAGGGTCAATATTATGCAAAAAAACATTTTTAGGTCAAGATTTAGGTATACTAAATAGTCTAAGATGTTATACATATGTACCTACTGCCGTACACTCAGCTATTCATTAAGAAGTACAACAACTTCACTTGAGTAGTAGTTGTAAGTAGTTGTCTTAAAAGCAATTTTTTTCTTAGTGTAACGAAGAATTTATCTTAGAGTTGACTACGATAAATTGTGACATTATTCTACCCACAATAATTTAAAAAATTACCGTTATGAACAAGAAGAGTAGAGTCCCGTGCCAGCGCCAATTCTGAATCTGTCAACGTAGCGTCCGAAGCGTTTTCGGAGGTCGGGGTGTCGCTTAGACCGGCGGGTTGTTGATAAAGAGGATGTTGGTAACTGCTGGGGTTCGAATTGTATCGACGTGGAGAATCTTCACCTTCCGAACCGCTAAGGCTATACGCTGGGTACAATCGACCCTTTCCTGAAACAATAGAAAAATGATGAGTTCATTATTATTTATTTTATATGTATTTTAACGAATTTATAATTGCTTGTATTCCATCACTGAGAGGTATGCACTTTATATCTGATACAAAAATATACAACATACTAAACACAGTAAAGATGACGAAGATGGGAAAAATTATCATCGTCATCTAGACTCAAAAGTTCACTGCTGAAAATAGGCCACTTCCTTGTATTTCCAACTCCATTTTTCTTGTTTCGTTGTATCAGTCGTTTATGTAGCTGATTGACTGACACTTCTCTTGACTTCTCTTGGTCTTCATTTCAATAACCTCTATGTCCATCACCCATACGTCGTTCTAGTTATGTGCCCTGACCTTCTCCATTTAAGTATGGCTATCCTTTCGATGACGTCAGTCACCTTGGTTCTACTACTGATCTCTTCGTTTTTATTTTGTCTTGCAAAAATCCCTAACATGGATTGCTCCATTTTTTCTGCGTAACTCTCAGTTTGGTAGCCAAGGCTTCTGTTAAGGTCAGTGCATCCTTAGGATGCACTGATCAAATACTTTTTTTTTTCGGGTATGTGAGCAGCTCTCTTTAAAATTTTCTCTCAATTTTCCATATGCTGCCCACCCAAGACCGATTGTTTTCTTCAGTTCATAGCTCTGATTATTACTTTTATATATATACACTATCATAATTTCATGTCCTAGATATTTTTACTTATCTACGAGTTCTATTTGTTGCCCACCAATACTGATGTTTTGGTTGAGAAATTTGTCATTATTTTTATTTTTAAGATTTTTGTACATTTTCTGTAGCCACAATGAGTTTTTGTACCATCTCTAATTATCTGGCCATCCTGCTCAATAGGTCCTCGAGTTTTTATCAACAGGTCCTCGAAGACACTTTGTCTCAGGACCATTTAAACTATGTAGAGTCATACGTCGCCATGTTGCCAATTCCATCGGTAATTTAAACATCTTAATTTGTAATAATATACGATGTATCAAAATTTTAAATTAACATCATTAAACGGGTTCTTACCCATACAAATCGTCAAATTGTGTAGTTACTAATGCAATCAAAATCGGAAGCACTTGCCTACTTAAGAAAATAATACCTTTTTAACATGTGCCGTTTGCACAGTAATATCCCCGACAAATGGCACAGTGCTAAGGACATTCTATTGTACAAAAAAGGAGATCCCCATGAGTTAGAAAACTACAGGCTTATAAGTCTTCTTAGTCACCTATACAAACTCCTTATAAGAATAGTAAAGAATCGTCTTGAGAAAAAACTTGATTTCTACCAGCCAATAGAGCAAGCGGGATTTCGTACCGGATTTGGAACAAAGGATCACTTGCAGAGCATTAAAACCACTATCGAATACAATCGACCACTGATTCTGGCTTTTGTAGATTTTCATAAAGCCTTTGACACTGTAGAATTCGACAAAATCCTACCGCATGCCACATTGACTATCGATATACAAGGTTAGTTTACAATACATACAAGAACTCAACTATTTAAGTGAAACTATATAAAAACACGGACCATATCTCAATCCGCAGAGCTTGCTTGTTATGCTTGAATATGCTTGTAAACTGGGCAGAGAAAGGGCTGAACATTGACGGTAGAAGATTAAAAAATTGGAAATTCGTAGACGACATAGTTTTGTTCTCGGACAACCTTAATGCTACATGAACTTCAGTTAGTGTGTGCCAGCGTGGGTCTTAAAATAAACATATCCAAAACAAAATTCATGATAAACCTAATACTTCCGAAAATATCAATATTGGAAACAACGAAGTAGAGCTGGTAAAAAAATGCTTATACCTTGGACACAAAATAAAGATCACAAAAGACAACCAAACATGTAAATATAGGCAACTTAAGGAAAACTCAAAAACATCAATGTGTGTTGTCTGTGGTGACATATGGTGCCGAAACTTTGACATTGACAGCTATAACCTCTAAAATGCTGCAAATAGCTCAGAGTAAAATGGAAAGGTCAATACTGAGTATATCGCTTCGTGACCGAATTAGAAATAAAGACTTAAGACGAAGAACAGGAGTTACCGATGTAACTTCCCGAATTGTTACACTTAATTGGAACTGGGCAGGATACGTCACATGAATCAGTGATGAAAGGTTGACGAAGAGATTGCTTGAGTAGTTGCTTGAGTGGGGGCCGGGGTTAGACAAAAGAAGAAGAAGAAGACCCGCTACTTGTTGGATCTCAAGAATATGTCAAGATATTGGATAAAAAGACAAAAATGGTGGAGGCCTATGTCCAGCAGTGGACGCAAAGGGCTGTGTGATGACGATATGGCTGAGGAGGCTAATAGGTCTTTAATTCCTTAAATTTGCTTTACCTCCTGCTTTACGTAATAGAATCATAGTAGCATTGTTCCAATCTGTTGGAATATTAGCGTTGTGAAGGCAAATATTAAAAAGTAGTTTAATTTTTTCAAGTTTTTTGTCTTCTCCAATTTTTAATGCTTCTGACACTATTCCATCTTCGTATGGGGTTCGATTATTTTTCATTTTCTTCGGGGCATAATATGTGATATTTAGGATTTTGTTATTATATCAGACATGGTTTAATACCCCAGTTTTCAGTGTAATTGGACATTGGGTGTTGTTATCTTTTTCTCATAATCTAGATAGCTCTCTATAGAACTCTTCTACTATTTATATTATTTCTTCTTCGTTCGTACTTTCTTGCCAGCTCTGTTTTTTTGTTTGTTAATTTCCATTTCTCTATTTTGTACGCTCCTTCTCTTTCATGCGTAATTTTGCTCTATTCCTTGTTTTGATTTTTCTGCTTTTTAGTTTCTTGTGAATGCGTCTCATCTTTTCTTATTGCCTTTGTGGCCATCTTATTTGTTTTGTTTAGGACTTTTTTGTTTATACTACTATGTTTTTCACTTTGTTTTATTTTATTGACTCTTTGTTTGTGCAATATATTTATGAGAAAAATACATGAACATGAAAATTTCTCCTGTTTTCTTAGCTTGGTATCTAATGTCATACCCAAATATTTTGCCGTATTTGCATAAGGTATTTGGTTTCTATTTATACTAACTGAGATATGTTGTTCTCTTTTGTTAGTAAAATTGACATAAATAGACTTTGTTTCATTCAATTTGATACGTCATTGCCTAGTTCAATGTTAATTTGTTCAACAGAGTTCTGTAGCATGGTTGCTGCGTCCTCGTGGTTTTGTCCGACTGCTAGAATGTATGTGTCATCTGCAAATGTCGCAATTGTGTTAGGTTCTAATGATAAAATATCGCTGGTATAAAGCAGGTATAGCACTGACCCCAGGACACTTCCTTGTGAAACTCCAGCTTTAAATTCTCTTAATTCTGCATATACTTTCTCATATTTAACTCGAAAGTATCTGTCGGGTATATATGATTGTAGTAGTTCAGAATATTGTTTTGGTAAGAAGCATCTCAATTTATTATATAATCCTTCATGCCACACCTTCTCAAAAGCATGCGCTACATCGAGGAAAATTGCGGAATATACTTTTCGTTCTTCTAAAGCTTTTTCTACTATATCGGTTATTCTATGCACCTGATCTATCGGTGAGTGGTTTGCTCTAAACCCAAACTGATGGGAATAAAAATTTTTTCCTCTATAATCGGTTTTAGTATCAATCAAGTATACCATTATTAACCCCCTCTGTGGCTCAGTGGTAAGAGCGCCTACATTTGAACCTAAAGGTCATGAGTTCGAATCTCACCAGGGTGGAAATTTTCGTTTAATAAAAATTAATAAATGAAAATAATTTCTCCTTGTGCGATCGGTACTCACCGGAGGGACCGCAGACGTTCGGATACAATTAGCGTCTTTTAGCAAAGACAATGACGTCGACTTTGCTAAGTATCAAGACAATTACTCTACACACACACACACACACACACACACACACACACACACACACACACACACACACACACACACACACACACACACACACACTACACACCTGACTGTGAAAATTCACTGTACCATGCCAATGACCATTCGTTGTCGACGCATTAAACTCAATAAAAAAAATATATATACCATTATAAAAGAAGTTTATTTGTATTGAATTAAAATTAAAATATGCAACTTTTGTTACTTCAATAAAAATTTCAAAAAGGACGAAAAAGTGCACCAACTTTAATATAAGCATCGACAAAGAAACACCAACAAACTTCACAGACGCAAAGGAGTCCAAAAAATCAATAGCTGCGGCGGCTGGAAGACAAATTATCCAATTTGTATCCAGGATTTCAGATACATTCCAAGGCACTTAATAAAATCCAAACAGAAAATCCACCGGCATAAATATGATGCGTGGCGAAAGAATTTCAATTTTCTCGGAAATATTTGGAATGTCAGATGCCGAACGTTGATGGAACACCTTGGATCAGGAACTGATTTCAGAAAAGTGACGGTTCTTTAGTTTGGGGCTTTGTTATTGTTGGATGGTGCGAGTTGAATACTGATTTTTATTCGTGATATGTCCAAACATTTGTTTTGTTTAAATTTCAGATGCATGTTATGAAATGAACATATAAGAAATATGTTTATTTCGTCCTCTGCTTGTAATTGTTTAAGGTCAACGTGTGCCTGAGCAAAACAAAAATGTTACATTTTAACAATCATTATTACATTTTAAGCGTCAAAATCTCATGAGTTCTGAGTATATTACACTTTTATAAGTATAAAGATGTGTCTTACTGTAGCAATGATCAATAGCAAAAAGAGATGCTCATAGATTTTTACAAATACACAAACTAAAAATAGAATATGACTAGAGATGTCTCTCAAGAAGACTAATATTGGTATAACTTAAAATAGAAACAAGTCGAAAAATTAAAAAAAAATTCTGCATAGAAAGAACTGATAGAAAATGTTGATTTTAAAAAAGCATTCTATATAGTAGAGCATCAGCAATAATAAATATCTTACAGACCTTATATAGAACTAACATCTAATATATAGAAA